GTTTTCATGAGACATCAAATGTTGTATTGCCTTTACATTAGGGCAATTAGCTATACCAGTGTGGAAAATGATTCTGGTGTTTCCAGTCACCCAATTTATATTATGTACAAATTTGGCATGTCAGGCTAACTAAGGAATGTTTAATTTGACTGCAATGTTCAGAAGAAAAGTGTTATTTATACATAATTCTATAGCAAGCTCTGCTCACAGACCAGCATATTGAATAGTTCTCAGTGATAACAAGAAAAAGAGCTAAACTCTTGTGGGTGGCGATTTAATTTTTGTTTATATACTAAAAAAAAAAGGATGCATCCAATTTCAAGGAAGTCAATTTGAAATAAGAAACTCATGGCATGAGGGTTGAGGAAAAAATTGAAAGTAAGGTTTGAATAGAAAGCTCAGTTCCAAGGCTCCATGGTTAAATTCATTTTTCGATACTCTCTTCGCAATATATTTAATTAGCGACTGGAAAGGAAGCAATAGAGCAAAATAAAGAGGATCAAAGTACTTTTCCTTCTTTCTCTGTGTTCTGTATGTGTGCGACAAGGTATGTGTGAGTGTCTGTGTGTGTTTATGTGTATTTCCATGCAAGCTTGAGAGTGGGCATATTCTAAAGAAAGTAATATAATGAAATCACTTGGAATTGTTTAAAAGGAAACAATGAAGGCACATTGGGTATACTAATGAAATGTTTAATATATACTATAGGTATATGTGAAATGATCACAATGAAAGTCTGTCATATTTTAAATGCTCTAAACAGAAGAAAATAGTGAGCCTGTACATACACATATGGAGGAATAAAGTGTAAGAATGAAGATGTATGAAAAAGGTTTTTCAAAAGTTGAAGATTGAGCTCCCCTGTGACCCAGAAATCCCACTTTTGGGCATTTACCCAAACAATCATAAAGAAGGCTATACTAAAGCTACCAGCACAACTATGTTTATCACAGGATTATTCACCATAGTTAAGATATGGAACCAACCCAGTTGCTCCTCAGTGGATCAAAAATGTTATATATACGTATATATATATATATATATATATATATATAATGGAATTTTATAACTCCATCATAAAGAATGACATTGCCCCAGTTGTTAGGAAATGCAAAGACTTAGAAAAATTACGTCAAGTGAAGTAAGCAGACTCAGAGAAACATAGATCCCATAGTTTCCCTTTTCTGCAATAACTAGTATATGTCTAAGACAAGAAGAAGAGGTCTATATACATATATATATTTATATATGGTCATATATATATATATATATATATATATGACCATATAAGCTGATGCTAAGTAAAATAAGCAGCAAGATAAAAATATTTCTTCTGGGTCATTTTAATGTACTTATCATGTACAGGTAGGAAGAAACAGGAAGAGGAGATTTAGACTGCCACATCCAGACACAGAGGCCCCTCAAGAAGACTCCTGATACCCAGCTCAAAACTGACTCTGGAATCTGTGAGTACCTCCTAGAGGACTCCTTCCTTGGATGACTAGTTCAAGGTGGTGGTCTAATAGCCAATAACAGTCAAGGCAATTGAAATGACCTAAAGTCTCCCATTCATGAAAAGCCCAAGACTAAATGTATTCACAAGAGGAATCTATAAGTTCTTCAAATATGAACACACTCTATACTCCACAAACTCGAGGTATGAAAGCAAACCACAGAAATGAGTAGCCTTCCTGTGTGGCAACAGTGAGAAGAGTGATACTGAAATCAAGAAAGCAATGTCATTTGTAATAGCTTCACAACAATACGTAAGAATTAACTTAACCAAAGATGGGAAGGATCTAAATTGTGAAAATGTTTAAAACTCTTATAAAGACATTGAAGCTGACTTTAGGAAATGGGAAAATATCCCATGCTCCTGGTATGAAAGAATGAACATCATGAAAATAGCAATTCTGTCCAGAGCAATATACAAATCAAACGCAATACCCATCAAAATCCCAGCAACATTCTGCCAAGAAAGAGAGAAATTCATATGAAATAATTAAAGATCTAGAGTAGCAAAAATAAAATGCTTATCAGGATGAACAGTGCTGTAGTAAGATCAATACCAAAGTTGAATATTACAGAGCCATAGTAATAAAAACATTTTGGTATTGGCACAAGAGAAGACCTGAAGACCAATCAAACAGAACAAAAGACAGAAACAATCTCACAAATATATAGCCACCTAATATTTGATAATGGACCCAGAAACAGAGCTTCCAAGAAAGATAGCCTCTTACAAGAACAGTGCTGGCAAAATTGGCTATCTACATGCAGAAAACAGAGGCTTTATATCCATATATCACATTGCATCAGAATGAACTCTAAATGGATCAAATATCTCAATGTAAGGCCAGATATTGTGAAAATATTACAGGAAGGACTAGGGAAACATCTAATCCTTATAGCATCATGGTAAAAATTCTAAACAAAGATCTGGAATCACAAAAATTCAAAGAAAGACTGGATAAATGGGACCATATTAAACTGAAGAGATTCTGCATAACAAGAGACTTAGCTAGGAGGATAATTGAATAGCCCACAGAATGGGAGAAAAAAAATTGACTAACTCTATGTCAGACAAAGGGGTCATATCTAACACATGCCTAGGTCTCAAAAATTAATAGCACAGAATGAAAATTTCCAAGTCAACAACCCAATCAATAAAAGGGCCAAAGACCTTAAGAAGGACTTCTCAGAGGAAGAAAATTGGTCAATTGATACATAAACAAACCACAGACAAAAGTAATATTCCCAGAAGTCAGACTTCTGGGAACATTACTTTTGTCTGTGTTTGTTTCTACTCTGGTTTATTTCCTGTGATTTCAGTCCCCATATTCTTCTATATAAGTTTATGAGAGCTGAGTAGGGAATGGGAATCAGAGAAACAGAGGGATACAGTGAACCATTGCAACAGTGATATTCACAAGAAACTATATAGAAAATGAACTGGATATGTTGTGGGTGACATGGGTGGGAAAGACAGGGAGAAAGTGATGAAAAAACAGACAAGATTCAAAAACAATTGTACTCATTACTCATGTACCTATAAGCCCTCTACATATCAACTATACAGTACCAATAATATATGATAAATAAAGTAAATTCCCATTAATAAAATAAACAGGCCATTCACAAGCAAGGAAATTGCATTGGCAGTAATAGACCTCCCTCTCCAGAAATGCCCAGCACCTGAGGGAGTTACAGATGAATTCTAAAAGACTTTTAAAGGAGAATTTTCACCATTACTCTTCAAACTCTTTAATGACATAGAAAGGAGGGAACACTGATCATTCTATGAAGCCAACATTACACTCATCTCCAAACAAGAGAAGGCCACACTGAGAAAAAACAACTCTGTATCTTTCTCCTCAATTAACCTTAATTAAATACCTTTCAACAAAATGCAGGCAAATAGAACCCAACAACTGATGCAGAAAATCATAAGTTATGATTGAAGGGATGCATGCCAGGGATGCAAACCTTGTTTAACATATGCAAGTCAATTAACATATTATAGCACATCAGCAGAAGCAAGGGCAAAAGCTGCATGATTAACTCAACTGAAGCAGAAAAAGTGTTTAACGATATCCGTACTCCTTCATGATGAAAGGTCTGGAGAAGCTAGGAATCTTTGGAACATTCCTCAATGTAAGAAAGACTGTATATGAACAATCCACAGCCAGTTTTATGCTTAATGATGAACAACTATAAGATATTTACTCTAAATTCAGGAAACAAGGATGCCCACTCTCTTTATTACTCTTCAATATAGTATTAAAATTTGTAGCAAGAGCAGTATGCAGGGGTAAAGCATTTGGTGAACCAAATAGGGAAGGATGAGTACAACCATCCTTTTGTATAAATGACATGATCATGTACTTAAGGGAATCCAAAATCTCCTCTTCCTTTTCTACTAAAATTGATCCTCAACTTTGACAAAATAGCCAGGTTCAAAATCAACGCACAAAAATGAATTACTTTTCTCGTTGCCATTGACAAAGTTCAGGGCTGAAATTAAAATAACACCCCATTTGCAATTGTCTCAACAATATAAAATAACTGGGAGTGAACAAATACTGGAAAGATCACTCTAATGAAAATTCTAACAATTTGAAAAAGGAAAGCAAGGAGGATTTAAGAAGATAGGATGATATTCTGTGATCTTGGTCTGGAAAAATTAGTATTGTGTAAATGGAAAATCTGTCCAAAGTAATTTACAAATTCAATGCAATATCCAAAAATCTAAACAAAATTATTCAGAGATAGAGAAAGCAATCCAAAACTCAAAAGGAATTAGAAAAGACCATGAAAAGCAAAGCTGTTCTTAGTGGTCAGAAAAGTGTTCCACAAATGACAATACTGAATTTCAAGCTCTATTAGAGCAGCATAGTAATTTAAACAGCATGACAAAAAGAAAAGCCAGAGAAGCAATGGAACAGAAGACCATGAAATGATCTCAAAGACATATAGCCATCTAATATTTGATAAAGGGTCCAAAATATAGGCATAAAGAATGATGCTGGCAATACTAGACATCCATGTGCAGAAAATTGAACCAAGATATTTATACCTCACCTTACACCAACATCAATTTAAACTGTATCCAAGAACACAATGTAAAGCCAGAAAACATCAAACTTTTTCAGAGAAGGGTAGGGCCCCTCAAAACAGATTAAAAATTTTCTAAGTGAAATTCCTGAATCAGAAAAAATAAAATTTACAATGACTGATAAATGGGACTATACCAAACATAAAATTTTCTGCTCTGCAAACCACGTAGGGAACAACAGAAACACCACAGAACAGGATATTTTTTACTAGGTATCCATCAGAGAAAGGTCCCATATCAAAAATATATGTGGATCACAAAATGTTGATTCCTCCAAGACTCAACATCCCAACTATTAAGTGAGCTAATGACTGAAGAGAAACATCTCACAACAAGAGATAAAAATGACCAATAGACCCATGAAAAAATATTCAACACCTCTTGCCATAAAGGAAACACAAAACAAGACCAAATTGGATTGCACCTCACCCCATTTAGAATGGCCATTATCAAGGAAACAATAAGAAATGCTGGAAAGGATGTGGCCAAAAGGGAACTCTATTATATTAGTTGTGGGACTCAAAATTTGTTCACCCAGTCTGGAAAGTAGTATGGAAGGACCTTAAAACAGCAAGCATAGAACTACCTTATGACAATCCAAATCACTTCTAACCCTGTATCCAACTGAACATGAACAAGGATACCTTAATCTACCAATACAATTACGTTTATTGCAGCTTTATTTACCATAGCCAAGATATGGAATCATCCCAGATGCCTCTATATACATACACAGTGAAATGCTTTCCATCCATTAGAAAGAATGACACTGAACCATTCATAAAGAAATGGAATGACTAGGAGAAGATTACATTAAGTGAAAAATCCAGACCCAGAGAAGCACAGGTTGCATGATTTCCCTCCTTAATGGGAACTAGTATGTGTCCTATACATCTAAAAGTAAGCAAACTGGATTGCACCCAAGGAATTATAAATGAATTAACCAAAATATAATAGAATCTATGGGAAGCACAAATAATATAATTCCTTAGCAAGATAAAGACAAAGGCCAACAAAATGAGTACTTGGTGTGTTGTGGGAGGACAAATGCAGAGGAATAGAAGCATGGATGTGGAAAATGAGTAAAACGCAGCTAAGTATGCATTGTATATGCCACAGAACTGGGGAAAATAGAGGAAGGACTAGGCAGAACAGGTGAAGCATGTTGAAGGGGTGAAATAGATCCAGATGCTTTGTATACATAAATTGCTTTGTTAAATGGTAAACATCCAAGACATAATGTACATTTAAGAAAATTGAGGGATGGGCTTGTGGTGGGTGTGGTGGGTGAGAACCTTAAAAGAGGTGACATTGCTCAAGACACATTGATTGTATTCATCAACTGCTCTGTACAACTACTTTGTACAATTATATAAAGAAAATAATATTTGAAAATGTATTAAATTTACTTGGTAATAGTATATATATATATTATATAATATATATTACAAATACAATATATATTATATGTAATAGATAAAGAACATGTATATAACTGTATATATATATAAAACTATACAAGAAGTTTGCTGATCTTTGGAACAAATATAAATGAAAACAGAATATCAGAATCTATAGATATAGAAAAAGAGCAAAAAATTGAAACTGTAACACTTTTATGAAATCAGGAGTACACATGCTGTACTAAAGAATCTGTGCTGAATATCAAGCAACTAGAGAAACAAACCCAAAATTAGCAAAAAGAATGAAAGTAGAAGAAAAAGAATTAGAGACTAAAAACAAAATGCCAATAATCCATAAAGCAAAAAGGAGGTTCTATAAGAAAAACAGGGTGATAGAACAGAAGTAAAATCAGCTAACCATAAAATGGGTAAATCATAATATACCACATATGAATGCACACCTTCCATTATACTGCATGCCAGAACCACTATAGTATAAATAGCTGTATTTCAGAAAAAACATCCATAGAAGATTCAGTCTATATAAAAATTCCTATTACTTCCTTTACAGAAAAAAGGCAAAATTGAATTTTATGAATAAGATAATTCTCCATAAGCCAGAGCTATTTTAAGACACAAGAACAACATGAAATCATCCTTATGCCTGTTGTAATACTTATAATAGAAAACATTCTGATAATAACAGACACATGTATCAAAGAAATGTAAGACCATAAAGTAATTGTAAACAATAAATATCTGATTGTTGGTGAAGGTGTCAAATAACACATGCCCAAACATGACACCCTTAGGAAGCGGTGGCATTGTGAGACTAGGCATGCCTGTGTGAAACACTTAAACTAGACCATCTATTTTTAATTTCAAAATTGATTAGTTCTTAATAGAGACTTGAACTTTACAAGTAATAGTGAAAATGAGAGGAAATATAAATACATAGGTAACTTCAACAAAAGTCAATAGCTCATAAAAGAATAGGAAGAAATATTCTCTGGGTTTGATTAAATGTGAGAATACTTTGTTGCATTTACAAGGCCATAACTTCCACCCAAGCACTGGAATTGTAAAGTAACTGTGCTTATCCAATTGAAAAGCTTCAGCACAATGAAAGAAATGGTGGGAAAGCCAAATGAACAGTTAAACATCTTGCTAGCTATACATCTCACAGAGGATGAATAATGTAGGGGAAAAGTTCTAAAAATTAAATATTAGGATAGAAAAAAATCCAATCAAGGAACAGACTAGTAAAAATTAGATAATCACAACAGAAAACTGATATTTAATCATTTGGGTATTCATGACACCCATTAGTTATTTATTAACCCAGAGAAAAATTACAGTCTTGGTAATGGTATAAAATAATTAAAGTTTAGAGATTCTTCAAGAAATTAAAATTATCCCTACTGGTGGATAATACCTGCAATCCTAGCTATAGAATTTAACTTGGGCAGGTAAATGCCCCCACAGGAAATCATTCATAACACTGATCTTCCTGGTAACACCTGTTTTGTGGAGCCTATCTGACATGAAACAATGCCACAAAGCTTAAGTTGTAAAAGTAACTGCTCGTGTGTGCTAAGAATGTGTATGTATGTAACTGTGTGTGTGCTTGTACATATGGGCATGTGCACACTTGTTCTAGGGCATGAAATCAGTGCCTGGGCACGGTTCTTGTGCTTTTTTGCTAAAGGCTCACACACTATCACTTGAGACACAAAATCATTTCCAGCATTTGGCTGTTTAATTGGAGATAAAAGTCACGTAGACACAATTAAAAATACTCACATAGATTTTCCTGCTTGGGCTGATTTCAAACCTCCATCCTCACAAATCAATTCCAGGAGTAATTAGGATTACAGGCATAAGCCACCAGAAGAAATTTTATTAATATTCTCAAAATATACATGTTACTAAAGTTCTCAGACCACTAATATAAGGGATAAGGAAATGAAGTGGCAGCCTTTTAATACAGAACTCATGCCAGTGACTCAGGTTGACTGTAGTTACATCACTACATATTCCACAGTGACAATTGAAGTGGAAGAGATACTGGGATGCTGGAGTAAACAGAAATTACAGACCTGGAAAGAAGAAGCTATGTGGAAGTAAATGGAGTCCTCTCCTGCCAGCAAGCAGAAAATCAGTCAAAAGGAGATTTAAGACAACATAATAAAACTTAGCTGCTCAGGATGCAATAGTGATCAAGGACAGTGTAGAGGAGACAGAGATCACTGATGTGTGCAACCTGACTTTCCTCACCCATTGACCATCCTCAGATTAAAACAGTAATGGAAATAAAATATGAAAGTACTTACATCTTGTTCTCTTCTTGCCTGGAAGCATGGCTGTTACTGTGATCTACTCCCAAAGTGTAGAGAGAGAAAAACCCAGTGATCATCACATCTCCATGCATGTGTGCTCGGTGCTTCATTGTTGAAAAGCAGCTAGTGCTAGCCAAGGACCTAACAGGGAGAGGAAGATAGAGAAGGAGGAGTGTGAAAGCTAAAGGGCACATCCTTGAATCCTCTGCCAAGCAGAAAAGCTGGCAGGAAGTGAGACCACAGTTTTGGTTATGTATATGTATCTTTTTATTGACAGAGATCTACACTATAACTCACCTTTAATCAAAGCCTCTTGTTAGTCCCCAGAAGTTATGTATAAGATTATTCCCAGGGGCTCTGCATTTGTAGCCTTACATCAGGAAGAAAAACATGAGTTAGAAAACATGTTTTCAGATTTGCCTTCTTCACTGCAGGTGCTGTGATTTCATCTAAGAACAAATTTAGTGAGGCCCCAGAGATGGAGTTATCTTGGTTAGAGTTTGTCCAAAATCTGTGTCTAGACTATTTGCATGCAAGTTATTTGGGATGATGCAACTGGTTTGCATGGGATGATATCATGTCATGTGAATGGTGAAGTGGCCAAAAGGTCTATGTCTCTGATTGGTCTACTAAACTTATGAGGGTATTGTAATTAGAGGATCGATTCACAGACACCATATCCAGGTAAACATCCTCTTTTTGTAAATGATATGTCAGTTTCAAAGCAGAAGGCTTTCCACCAACACAAACTCACTAATGAAGAAAAACACCTCTGTACACACTTGTCTGCCACAGCCTCCAAAGATGTCTAAGGGAAATTCAATCTACAGCATAAAAATCCACTATCAGACTTGAAAACTAGAATCAGAGAAAAGAATAGAACAGGAAGGACTTCCCATTTTTCTGGATGAGAATGAATATTATTGAAATGCCCAATTTACAAAGAAACTTGCTAGTTCATTTCCTTTCCAGATTCCAAGGTTGTCCTAGGCAAAAAATAATCTTTTAAAATTTATTTGGATTAACACAATGAAAAAACAAAAACATAAGGAAAATTTACAATGCTGGAAAATATGGGAAACCTGATTTCAAACTATAAAACACAACCACTGAAAGAAAATCACATTGACCCTGGTTCCAAGAACATATGGAAACCAGTAAACATAATAGATGATTCAGAACAATCCAGTTAACTGATTGTTGACAACATGGCAAATTACATATAGTGGACACAAGATTGCTTTTGTTACAAAATTTGTTTGTGAAACTGCATTGGCACTTGTTGAAGACTGGAAATAGTTCCTTGTCATTCCATTAGAGTCCTCAACTTAAGAGCTTCAAATATGAAACTACATTGATAAATAAGGGAAACACTTGAAGCAATAGACAGAGGTAAAGATTTTCTAAGGAGTAATGAAACAGCTTAAGACAGAAGAGCAAAACTTGATGAATATGTCTTGGAAGGTGGCTCAGGTAAAGTTCTTGGCTTGTCTCTACACACTAAGGAACTGAGGGAGGCACTGATACTCATGACTTTAGTGCAACATGCTACATGGCTGAGACTGGGATCACAGTTCACAAACAGCTTAGGCACAACTTTCATGAGACCTTCTTAAGGTATTTTTGTGTGTGTTTGTGTGTGTGTTTGAATATCTGTGTCTGTGTGTCTGTGTAGGTGTATATGGATGTATGCTGATGTGAGTGTGCTGAGAAGGAGAGCTGAGATCAGGAAGATTGTGATTCCAAGCCAGCCCAGGCTAAACACAAGATCCTGAGATTCTGTGTAAATAGAAGAAGCTGGATATTGAGGCATATGCCTGTCATTCCAGTTGTGGCAGCAAGCAACATTAGAAAGACTGTAGCCCAGGCATGGACATAGAGCAAAAGCAAGATACTATCATAGAAATACTCAGTGCAAAGAAGGGCTGGAGATAGGGCACATTCTATAGTAACTCCCTATCATGGTCCTCAAGAAAGCATTGACAAATGGGTGTGCATCAGATTGGAAGAATCTGCATAGTCCACAAAGATGCAAAGGGATATCACTCAGGCCACAAGTTCAAGCCATAGTATTACCACAAAAATGTTGAACAAAATGAATGGCAGAAATGAAATACAGGTCATGGCTTGTGGTGTAGAAAGAAGGTCAATGGAGATGTAACAGATTCCACATAACCAACATACTGAATATATGGTTGTGAATAAGGGATAATCAAAACTGTATGTAATGGTTTTAAGAAGGGATGTTGTTGACAGATGTTACTTCTTGTGCTTTAAAAAACATGTATATATGTACATGTAAACATCAAAACATATATAAAATCTTATTTTATTTCATTTTTATTTTTAAAATTTCTATTGCCTAAATCATTGTAAAGTGGAATTTCTTTTTAACAAAGAAGTTTATGAATACCATACATAACTTGATCAATTTTATCCCTTTCAATGTTTCACTCATCCCCCCCCATCCTCCTCTTCCATCTTTTCATTTTGAAGTATATATATATATTGGATGTGTGACTGCATTCTCCTCTTCTCCTCTTCATATGTCCACCCCTTTCCCCTGATATGATCCCACCACTTTGGAGTGAATGTTTTGTGGTGTTTTATTTTGCAGAAAGTTGACTTTGCCTTTGTAGGAAATTACATTATTTGAATTTTCTAATGAATCTACTGTGTTTCAGTTAATACATCTGAATCAACTTGCATATCACCTACGCTTTTACTTTATATATTCATTCTAGGTTCCATATCTAAAGGAAAATATTTATCCTTTCTTTCTAGGCCTGACTTACTTCATTTAGTA